AGTTTCTTCGACGCAAATCTCGACTTTATCTGAATTTAAAAAAGACATTGTACTGACGACGACGCTCAAAAACCAATTTAGTTCTAGCAAGAAGCTCTTCCTTATCTTTTGCAGGGATCAAAATATCGTCAATGAAGACAAGCCATGGAAAGTCAGCAAATATCATGTCCATTACTTTTGGAAATAGTTCCGGAGCTGCTGATCAGTCCCACTGGAGAAATGAAAGTGGTGATGTATCGACATTCTTTTTTCAAGACAATTTGATGGAAAGCTTGCTTGATATCAGTTTTGTGAATAGGTTGTTCCCACCTAACTTTTTCGTCATCTGCTCAAGCGTTGGTAGAGGATGAATTTCACGAAACACAGCTTTGTTCGCCTCACGCAAATCAACAATAATGCGAACTTCATCAGAGCTTTTCCGTTTCACAAGCATTATTGGTGAAACCCACTCTGAGGCTTCGTAAACCCGTTCAATGATATCTTGATTTTCAAGCTCCTTTAATTTTTTTTAAAGTGAGCTCTTCAAGCAGAAATGGAATTCTACGAACTGGTGGAACAGTTTTATCAATTTAGATGCATACTCAATCCCTAATGAATTCAAACGTTTTTTTTTATTTTACACATATGTTTTGAATGTTCCATTATTAGAAAATAAAAAAAAAACCGAGCTTAATTGCCGTATTTCCCGAGAGGAGTGGACCATTTACCTCCAAGAATCACGTAGAACTTCGTATTAAAGTACTTGTTGCAGAACTTCACTTCGGTCTCGACTTCTCCCAAAACTGTCAGTGGTTTGTTTGATCCGTAGCTGTTGAAAATTATCGAGCTTCCTTTCTTGACTGAATTGGCCTCGAATGCAACATGTTTAAGGATGTGCCAGTCATCTTCGCTTAAGATATTTTCGTCTGCGCCGGTTTCGATTATGAACATCAAAGGCACACCTCCGACTTCGATTCTGACGGTACGTTTTCCACCAAGATGAAATAAGTTGAAAACTGCATCATCCTTGTTGTTTCCGTTTTCAGCAGTAGCTTCGTGAACTTCTCGAACGAATCGTTTCTTCGCCTTTTGTTGATATACTACCGGTTTTGATTGCTTCCTCTTCAGGATACAGCAACGTGAAAAATGTCCGATTTGTCCACAGGTTCGACATTTTTCGGATTTTGCTGGACATGAAGGATCGCTTGATTCGTGACGACTGTCGCACCGGACACAGCGTGGTCGGTTTCGAAACTTCCTCTAGGCGTTGATTTTATAGATGGATTCTTCACCTAGTTCGGTTTTAGTTTTATCCGTGTCTGAATTGAGTGACTCGTGGCTGCGGCCTAGAGCTAAAACCTGGTTTAGAGTGTAATCCTTTACCAACCATTTCCGTCGAAGCTGCACGTCTTTTGTAGTAGCAATTATTTGGTCTACAACCATGTTGTCTGCTTGATCACCGTAATCGCAGTAGGTCGCCTGCTTTTTTAAACGAACAACAAATGTATCAAGTTTCTCATTCGCACCGGGTGTCATCTGACGAAGCTTCTGCCTTTCGTATGTCTTCGAAACCCGAGGAACGAAGTATTCGTCGAGGAGCTGCATCGCCACGTTGTACCGGTTTCCAAGAACATGTTCATCGTCGGCTTGTATCTTGGAGATTATCTTCCGGACATCCGGTCCTCCGAATAGCATCAAGGATTTGTATTTTTCTTCGTGGTCTTCTACGTCTTTCCACGCTAAGTAAGCATAGAAATGCTCTCTCCACTTTTCCCAACGGAGCGCCGTGGAACCCTCGGCCTCTTCAACGAACAGAGGAACGACGTTGGAAACTATACAATGAAATTTATAATGGATCATTCCTGGCGTAGACTTCGTTATATAAACAAACAACACTCTAATATAATGGGGTCATCCACACAGGTTTTTTCACTGGCTAGGCTTTAGCCTTGTTCCGTTTAACCTTCCGTTATAGAAATCATCCTATAACTCAGGTTTCCTACTGGCTCAGATTTAACAATCTTCCGCTCAACCTTCCATTACAGAATCCATCCTGCATTTCTGCTAGGTTCTATAACTCTTGGTATACTACCATCGATCAATGAGGGCTTTACTAAAATAAGAGTATCGGGGTCTGGACCTCTTGAACTTCAGTAAACACAACCCTAATCATTCGACCATGGTGGGATTCATCCTGACTCCTGCAGGTCCCATAATCTCCTCCGAGACATTCGACGAATTGGTTTTGTCACCTGCACTCCGGGTTCTAGTATTTCAGTATATCAAACAACATGACTTATCAGAATCAACCGCCGACGCGGGTTTCGCAATAAAAAAAAATCATATTACGTACTTCATCCCTAAGAGTGGGTCACTGAATCGACATCGTTGTGATAACAAATACCTAGTAACCAGCCCGGCGAGTACCAGGTACATTTCCTCTCTAGGAACTACCTTGTGGCCCATTGTATCAGAGTTTGTTTGAATATTTCCGAATCTTACCATTGGCCAGGCCATTGTATTCGAATTTCCTTCTTCCGATTTTCCTATCTTCCGAGTCTTCCAATTTTCCAATGGTCGCCAAATGTAGAGTAGTAAAACAGGTCTTCACTCTTCGGTGTTCCAAACGATAATGCTTTATTTGATACTCGTTATTTATTATTACAGTTAATCAAGGCCACTTTGATTTGTCCAGATTACTAAGATCCTACAGTTTGAACAACAATTAACCACGTTAACCTTTGTTCAGCTTTTAAACACCTAAATCTGGTGATTTTAATCAGCCGAAAGCTTAACAGTAATATAAGTCAAAAACTTTTTAAGGTATTAAATAACAGCTTTCTTGTTTTCATTCAAACAAGTTAATGGAATACCGCTTCATATCTTATATTTTTTATGGGACTGCTTTACCTTGTTTGCTGACTTATTGGATTTTCATATTTATATTCATATTTAATTGATTTTGACATAAATTTGAGTCATAACAGACGCGAAATATAGCTCAATCCAACGTACTTGACCTGTTTGTATTCGTCTCATCTATTATGTCAAAGATGGATTCCGTGACGTGTAAAATTAGTTATTTCTAAGTGTGTAGCAAGTTACAAAAGGGTTAGTCCTATCAATTCAAAGATTTTTGTTAGTGCAATAAATGGTCATGGTCATAAAAAATCGAAAAATATTAAAATTTCACTCAACTTTTTCTTACAAAATTTGTCTCAAAAATAGGCAATTCATTTACGGGTTACAATTCCACAGCAGATGTGGTATTAGCTTTTCATTACTATTGTGTATTATTGCTGAATGAATGAGTTATTTGTTGATAGACCGAAGCGAGGGGCTACGCTGTCATTACATTCCGTAACGTCGAGTTAGCTGTATTAAATATGACAATATTTTCGAGAAAATTAACAGTAATGGTAACATCGAGGTAGCGTTTAGCAACTCAAAAACTGAGCAGTTAAATTAATTAAATTCTCAAGGAAATTGTTTCATAAAATTTGAAATTGTATCACAACTAAATAGTTTCTCATATAGATGAATGGACCCTTCTGGTTTAAAGCCTCTCTAATATAGTAAATTTGGGTAAACAATCTAAAACTGTTTAATACATGAACTATACAAAATGACCCTTTACAATATTTCTTGAATATTTTTCATTAAAAAAGCTTTTGAAAAATGCTATCTTCTGTGCTATTTTTAAGTCGAATCCCGTCCAGATGAAAACAGCATACCGGATAGCTGAGAAGAAATCCTTTTTCATACTGTTTAAATAAGTAGAATCGATGCTCTATACGTTGCTGTATAACCCTGAGCATTAAATGTTCTACTATTATGATAGAAACGCAGTCGAGGTGCGCATGTCGAATTCGGGGGATTATGTTCAATATGTGCAAGTGTATGATCTGCCACCTGAAGTTCCCGACAGAGATTTTGCGTGGGTGCTGAGGGAATACCGTAAAGTTAAGCGTGTTATCCGGGAGAAATTCCCAGCAGAGCTGTGCTGTACACTGGTGTACGTGGTGTATAAATGGATGTGAAAAAATAAACTTCCACATCGCTGCATTTCCTCAATCGGAAGGGGAATGTAATCCATCCAAGGAAAAGAAACGTGTGTTTTCTATGTAACATGGAGGGGCACCGGATGAATTCTTGCCTTAAGCGGAAGGCTCGAAAGCAGCCAGAGAAGCCACAACTTGACGAAGAACGAAGAACGAAGGTGCCACAGCGAAAGCGATTGAGGTGATCGATGAAGAAGTGATTGCAATCGACGTGATCACCCCGTATACTGAAGAGAACAGAAAAGAAGAACAAGCAAGCGGAAATCAGGATCAGCAGCGGATCCCTACTTTCTTAGCGGCAAAAGAACTGTTTAATCAACAGCAACGAATTAGAAGACAACAGTTACGGGCACAGGAGAAAGCTTGCCTGCAAGAAATGAACTCTTTTACGAACATCTTTCTCCATGTATTGATTTAAAACAAATGTTTTAATCGGCTCCGTAGAGTTTTATAAATTTTAGAGCCTGTTAAAATAAACGAAAGAATAAGTAGTTCTGTCATTGTATGTTTTCTGGAAGCTGATATTTGTGCTCTAGAAGACGTGAAGTGATAAGGGGCTTTTCATAAACCACTACCAAGTAACAATTTTGGTTTTAGAAGGGTTTGGTAGACCATAATTTAGACTTGTAGAGTGCTTTAAAACCTCGATAACCGTTAGGGAAAAGGAAGGGGGTTGGGATATGTATGTACGATTGCCTACGCAGAGAAAGGGGGCCTGAAACCTCGTAATTTATGTACAACCGCTAATGAAATCCATCAGAAAAAAAGGCTTCGAGACCGTATAATCTTAAGAGTAACAGCATTTAAACAGACGCATTCAGGAGATCTAGAATCGCCACGGAACAAAAATCTTCCCGGAATCTGCAAAAAAATCAATCATCTCCTGTTCCGTTCCCAAACGCTCTCTCTATCTTTTTCTAACGTCTCACCATGTTTCGTTTTTTCTTCGTCTATTTTCAGAATGTCTATTCGGCAAAACGCTGCGCGAACTCGGCTCAACATGGTTCGCCGACTTGGGCCCCCCATTCGGCGTCATGTACTGCATCAAATGTGAATGTGTGCCGGTAAGTTGATTGTTTTCTCTCACTCACTCACCTCCCCCTTCGCCGTATTTACAGCAGCCACATTTTTGTGATCGACTTTACACAGCTGGTACCTACGTACGTGCAATTTTTCCCTATTATGACCATATTGCGCTATGAGCTCTGCGAAATACCTCAGCCACGCCACCACTACAGCGCCGTAAACGGATCGGGAACACGATCAAAACCACAAAACGGGTTTCAGGTCTCTCGCCCGGTGGTATCATTATTTACAAAAAAAGAAACAGAACACTACCCCTTCATTTTTCCGTACCACCGTCGTCGTCGTCGTCGTCGTTGACGACGCTGTCGTGATCGCTTACTGTGATCCTGTCAAAACTGCTGCCCACTCACGATCAATCAAGCTAGGCATGGTCTATCCTGCTATTTTTTTTTGCAAACTAATTGTAGCCGTTCGCGTCATAGGAGAGCCATAAACACCTTCCCGAGGCGCCTACTGTGTTGTGTGTGAGGAGGCCCCCGTGGTTGAACTCATTGAAGCTGAAAAGTTATCAAAACAACCCGCAATCGTTATCTCACCCTGTTTTCTTATCGCCAACAACCCGCGCAGACGTCGTCGACGACGACGGAAACAAATAGAAAACAAGAGAGTCCATCCACCCTTGCGTCGAACCCCCTGACCAACATCATCTCTGCCCCGTGCATGGTTCTCTTGCTAGACTAATGCAAATATTTTCCTCCTTTTTCTTGCTTCCCTATACACACAGGTGCAAAAGAAGCGTCGTATCGTAGCACGTGTTCAGTGCCGCAACATCAAGAACGAGTGCCCGAAACCGACCTGCGACGAACCGGTCCTGCTGCACGGAAGATGCTGCAAAACTTGTCCAGGGGACGTAAACAGTGAGTATCTTCTACGAACCCAATCAACACTCCATCGGAGTATCTCTTGTGTGTTTTTACGAGGGTGGCGCCAGCCGATTATGACCCCCCCGCTATATAAAAATGAATGGCAGTAGGCGGCGACGCCGGTCTGGATCTACGCAGAAAAACAGAAATCGCTTCTTATCGTCCTGCAACCGCAGTGTGCGTTGCGTGGCGCAGAATTTGATCTTATCTCGCGAGCTTCAACTTCAAAACCACTAATTTATACACGTCGTCGACGGTCGATGGTTTTAGGTCTCGCGCCACTTGAGTTATGGCAATCTACCACTACTACTTCTAATAGGCGACTGCGATTGATGATGAATGACGCCCCCCTGAAGACGATGACAACTCCGTAGTTTCCATATTTGTTTGCCCTTTTCGGGCTTAGTTGGCGCTGATTGCGTTACTGCTGCTGCCTACTCTAGTGCCTATGTTTACTTGTTTGCCAAAGAAAAATCAAGTATTTGCACACCCTGTACACCCTTGTACAGGACCCAGCAGCGGCATAGGTTGAGGAGAAGGTGCAGATCAGAAATAGCAGACGACGACGATAAGGAATCCGTAAATAGGCATGGTTGTTTGTTTGCAAGCGACCTTGCGGCCCCTTGCTTCCCCAGGCCCCGCTTATCCATTGAAGTAGGGTGATGTGTTATACAACACTCGATCAAATAAGCTTTACCTAGCGGCATTGGCAACACTGCTCGTGGGCGTAATTGGAACACCGTGAACAGTAATAACTTGGTGGGTTGGATTGAGGAAGGTTTTCCGAATGCTGAAGGAACTTCATATTCGAGGGTTTTCAATCATAAAGCACTTCGATTACAAGTCCAGAGGACTTCAGGACTTCAGACTTCAGGCACGCCAGTTGAATTTTTGGAGATTATTCGAATATTTTAAGGCACGTTTGAAGGATTTCACTAGCGTGTTTTGTGATCCATAAATTACGTCATGCCTTTAGGGGATTGAGGATTCGAAGACACGTTACAATTTGTAACATGTGGGGAAAGAGGACTAAGCTCAAACGTGATATCACATTTGTTTATGTTACATAAAATATATAACGAAATCGGGTAAAACAATATTTCGCATTCAAGGACACAAGCGTTTTTCATCATACATATTTTAAAACACACCTTGGATTTTTTCTAGTATAACAATTTTCTTTAAGAGTAAATGATAACTGTACCGTAATCCGGGGGCAAATTGATCATTTAAGAATATCAAATAGAAATAAATTTCAATATTAAACGAAATTGGCATACTATTGGTATTACAATCAGTAGCTAGGATTAGGGGAAAAGGGGGGAAGTTCCCATAGCAGGCGAAATGCGCCCTCCTTCTATATCTAATGCTAGTTAACATGATGGCGAAAAATTGCGAAACAAGCAACTTTTAAAGAAAGTAATTTGAAATTGATAAAATTGAAAAACAATTCTGGCACAAATCCATGCAAAAATAGTAATTTCTCCAAAAAGTTGGTATCTCTAAATATTGCCAAAATATAATGCAAGTAGTTAGATACATCCTTCATATTTCGGTGCAATATGTCGTTTGGCATGTTTATTCGAAAAATAGTAGTTATTTTAATCGTAACAATTTTTTACTTCAAGTGGGGTACAATGCGCTCCCCGAATTGTAGTGTGGAAAGCAGAACCATCAGGCGCGAAGTTTTGATATTCAATAGACAAAGAGCAAAGATAAAGCCTAAATGTATGCTTCTGTTGCATGAATACGCTGTTTGCCCCTCAGTATTTTCAAAACGGGAATTTATGATTTTTCGTTATTACAACTGATATTATCTATTTAATAGCCTAATCCAACAAATAGATGGTATTGCACATAAATACCGATTCACTTTGTGGATTAAACGGGGATCTTTCTTAGCATGGGTATTTTACTTCCATCTCCCGTACTCATCACATACTGAGTGATATGTTTATTTTAAGGACATTTTTTAAATCTCAAATTTTAAATTATTGATATGGGGTGAAATTGATCAATTCAAGTAAAGTTCTGGTAACTGTTCTTATTAATTTTGGGTTCCCTGAAACCGAATCAGATGTTAAATTCCTTGTGAATGTGGCATACCGGCGCATTTAACACAGCGTCAAGCTGTCAAGTGACGGTGCGATGTTTTGTCTACGCCTAACTGGCAGCATGAAAAGATACACATAATATACGGGAGGGTCAGTTGAATCTGAAGATTAGAGCAAACATAAAAGTGGTGACAAGTATGGGATACGATTCCCTTCACATTCTACTTTCGCGTGCGATTTTGTGCAAAGTGCAACGCACAGTGCAATCCGTGCGTGATATCGCAGTAAAAAAAGTACATCAGCAGTTAGCGAGTGTGTACAACAGCGGCGGGTGCATACGGAGGCATAGCGTTCATCAACCACAGAGTTATTTTCTTTCCCTGGAGGGACTAGTTTAGTCGAGGTAAAGCCGCCACTAGTTTTCCGGATTTTAGCGGAGGCAAAAGAACCGTTCGGCAGTTAAATTCCAACTGGATAGTGGCCGCTAAATCCATCCGGAGTGACCTTATCACGAGGTGTGACTGAACGGAGAGTGAGTTCCCCAGTGATCGATAAAACGCTTCCCCAAGTCGGAAGAGGATTCTAAACGTAGTCAAGGCACAACATAGTCTGCGACTCTACTCCGGAAGGTCGGCAAGGGCATTTTGTTTTCGGTCGATGTAAATTGGAAGCGTAGGCGCGATGGCGCATCATTAGAGGTCGTCTGGGAGTACCCGAATATTAAAGTTACAGTGAAAATGCCTATGACATTTACGAATTGCGAGCCGGACAGTATCACCAGTGACAGTAGAGCAGACGACATCGGTAGTGAAGAGTTGAAGGCCCCGAGTGGGGGAAGAGTAAGGAAACATCAGGAAGTGTCAGTGACAGAGCAACCCAGAAGGTCGAAGAGAAATAAGAAGGAGAAGAAACTTGAAGACTTCTGTTATGATTATTAATATGAGTGTTTTGAATTGATCGTGGTTGACGAAGGTCAAATTGTGAATTGTTAACCTGTTTGGAAGAATTATGGCATACCGGCGCATTTAACGCAGCGTCAAGCTGTCAAGTGACGGTGCGATGTTTTGTCTAAGCCTATCAGGCAGCACTGCTGGCAGCATAAAAAGATACACAGAATATACGGAAGGGTCAATTGACTCGGAAGCTTAAAGCAAACTAGGATTGGGGGATCTTCAGAGAAAGATCGATCTTGACGGATCGATCTTATATTTGGCTCTAGAATCGATTCACTGATTAAATCGGTACTAAAGAATCGATCTTTGGCAGATCGATCTTTTGATTTTTTAATAAGCTTGTCTACGTTGGTACCCCATGAAATTCTTTCCTTTATAATATTCAACAAAAATAACATATTTTATTTTTATGTTCTGGGCTTAAACAAAAGATTTTATTGTATTTCAAAAGAAGTATTTGAGAACTACTGGTGCTACATTAAAACCTTTAGAAAAAAACTACAATGAGCAGCCCTATGGGGTTGTACGCAATGGTGACGTAGGACTACGTGGTCTTATATAAAAAATCTTATTTGTTATCTGCAGTAGAAGCTTGTGTTTTGAGTAGGAATAGGATTTCGAGCGGGGTTCTCTTTGATTATACTCTTTAGTATGACGCGCTTGACATAGATGGCCCACAGCGACTAACGAAGAGTGCAGCTTCTTCTACCTTCTATTGATGCTCATGTGGGCTGCAGCTCGATGCTTGCAGACAGCCTTTCACTTTCGAGTGCTGGAGAACACTACCACTCACCACGCGGTGATTGAATAAACACCGTTTGGTGAGACCGGATGGAATACAACTATGAAATCTGTGTTAGGGAAATCGATTTTCGCAGGCAATTGGTGATAATTCTAATTATCATAGCAATAGTTGCACATTCATGCTATTTTCAATAGTTAAATTATGAAAAATGGAAAAGTTTTAAATTTAACATTTGTGTAAAAATATTTCTGGTCGATTGGTGTTAAAACTATTGAAATTGGTCCAGTGGCAGCTGAGTTATTAACGTTCAAAATCTTTCATAATTTTGTTACATGTTCTATTTTTGGTTTTCACAAAGTGTATCCCCATATAGAAATCACAGACGTAGTTCTACGTCAAAATCTGTATTATTGCAAAGAGTACTGGACTAATCGAAATTAAATGTAGTACGAAATATTGAAAATGTATGGAATCGAACGAAATTGCATAATCAAACAAACAATCAACAACTGGTACTTGCCAAAACTCGAAACTGATTAATCATCATGAATCATTAATTAACTACACAAAAATGGTTAAAATTTATTCTTTATTAAGAGTTGTTCCGTTTTTCTCGAAAATGATTCAACTTGACTCCTTAATGTATCATTCTATTTCTCTGTTCAGACAAAATGTGACGGCAAGGAGCAATGATCACAAAGGTAGGTAGGAGGTAGGAGGTAGCGCAAACCTTCAAATGTTGCTGTATTTTTGAATATCGAAAACGCTAATAGTAACATCTAAAGAGCCTGAATTTATAAAGAGACGACATCTTATCCATTTGACAGGTCTTCTGCTCGATTTGAATGATTTTTCCTATGACTTTGACAGATAATCGATTGTTCCAATTTTGACATGTCGTCTCTTTATAAATTCAGGCTCTTTAGTAACATCTATTCTTTAAGAAAATCGAAAAGATCGAAAGAAAAGATCGATTTTTTCGATCTTTTCATGGACAAAGAATCGAGCCGAAAAATCGGAAATCGGGATGAAAAAGATCGATCTTCCAAAGATCAATCCAGGATCGCCCAATCCTAAAGCAAACAAGTCGTTTTTTTTTCTATACAGCCCGGCAGTTCATTGCACAACTTCCCTTCCAATCCCAGCGTGATTAAACCGTGTCCGCAAACCGTTGTATTTTAAATAATTCAGATTAATTGACACTTAGGCCTGTGTTCCAAATGGCGAGTTAAATTTAACTCG